TTATTTATATTTTTTTAATAAATAAATAAATTTAAATTAAAATAATTTTAAATTAAATATTAATAAATTATTAAGTTGTAAATTTGATATTATGAATAATGAAAATGTCTAAAAACATTCAGAAAATGGAATACGTTCAGAAAAACATAATTATGTCTGGAAAATGTCCAGAAAATAGGATTATATCCAAAAATTATCTGAAAAATGTTCAGAAAATGTCCAATTTTGCATTTTAAAGAAATCGAACATTGAAATTCTGGACAATGACATTTTCTGGACAAAATGAATATCCAGAAACCACCAAAATTTGAAACATATTCCAAACAATAGAAATATTCGGAATTTGTACATTATTATTTCAATACATTTATCTGTTAAATTCCAGATATTCTTTTTTTATAGGGATGGGAGGGTTTCTAGGAAAATCAGGTTCTGAGAAATTTTTTGACTAAAATTAGAGCTTAATACATTTTAATCTAATAACATCAAAACTAAAATGCAATAAAATAATTTTGCTAAAAAATTCCCGGAACCTGATTTTCCTAGCAATCAACCCATATTTTGTTCAATTATTACATGTCTGAAATCTTTTTATTTTAACTAGTGTTCTGAGATATGAAGTTTAAAGTGTAAATAAGAATTTTATTGTAAATAAAGTTTCTCGAGTCTTTTCTTATACTCATTGAAAATCCTAGTTGAACTACAGGATAATTTATATAAAATTCTAATTTATAATGTAAATATTTAAATAGCAAAGTTTCTAATTGATTTTTTTCACAGGTTATTATTAATCTTATAAATGTTCAAAAAAAAAATGTTTAAAATATTATAAAGTTGTTTTTAATCAGATGGTAATTTTATCTTAAATTGAACCGATTAAAACATTTAATATTATAAAAATAATGATCAAAAAATAAATATAACATTGCAGTAAACATTATTCTAATTTTAATGAATCAATTAATAAGACAATAATAAAATTTATTTATTTAAAATTATTTATTATATATTCTTTAAAATTTTACTATTAAAATCTTACAACATTAATTTTACATTTGTTACGCTAATTTTAAAAAATAATTATTTTAATTATATTTTTGTTTATTGTTTTTTTAGAAAAAAAAAAAAAAGGTATTTTCTAATTAAATATGCACAACCCCGGAGTTAGGATCAGTCCCCAAAAGAAAGATTATATATATATTTTATGATTTACATCATTGATAAAAGATGCCGAATTTTCATAAATTTAAAAAAAAAAAATAAATGCAAAAATACATTTCATGAACGAAAAGTTGTCAAATATTAATATTTTTTATTTATATAAGTTGACGGGCCCGAGGATCGTTCTACTTGGGACCGACCCAACTGCAGAAAAAAGATAAAAAATACATTTATTACAAGAATTTCCCAAGCAGACTTTTTTTATAAAAATAAGGATCACCGCTTTCATTTTTATAAAAATAAAACGATTCTGATTCCATGTTATGGTTAAATATATAAATTTAAGTAATTTATTAATTGAATTAAGATGAAATCCTGATATCAGACAAACAATAGATATTTATAAGATTTATAATTGAGAGTATTATACTTTTACAATTATTTGGCTCATTTACAAACATAGAAAGTTAAAAATATACAAATTCATTGTAAAAACGATCCTAATTAAAAAATAAGAATAGATTCAGCAATGCAGTTATAAACCATTAAAATTAAAAATAATATATAATACTTACTTTCGCGATACAAGTATGAAAGTACTTGATTATACCTAATTTCAAATATTTTTTAATTACCTCCATATGTTCATCATTAGCATCCAAACTAGTTAAGTAAAATTCATTGTATGATATGATGAATGAAAGAGGTTTTAGTGGTCTACGGTGCGACCAACTTACAAAGAAAGTTTCCAAATCTTCAGGGGTCAATTTTGACTCGATTACATCGGCGTAATACAATTTTAACTCATAAAATTCTTTAGGAGAATTTGAAACAACAATTTCCAAAATCTCCTTTTCACTTATTAAGAGCAATTCATACACTCGTACTGTGATACTTTCCAATTGTTGACAACTCTTAAAGATTATTCTCATATCATCTACATCATCAACCATTGAGTAAATCTTAAGATTTGGACATAGCTTGGCCAGATCTAATTCTGGCAAAATATGAAAAGCACCAATATCAAATTCTATTAAATTTTTTCCATTTATTTCCAAGAAATAACCCAGATTTTCGAGATTTGGATATATACCAGGTATTTTCAAGATTTTCAAATGTGGGAAAGTAACTTGTCGTAAATCTTTAAGATCATCAAAGCCACAGGATGATATGAAAATCTTGTGCAACTTTGTGAAAGTAGCAATGAATGCTAAGGAACCGTAGAATCCATACCCTTTAATTTTCATTTCGGTTAAAGTGTCTGCATGCTTTGATAAAGAAGGCAAGATAACCTTCCAATTACTCCAATTAACATTGTTTATGATTGATATAGATTTTAGATTCTTTTGAGAAGATATAAATTCACTTAATCCATTTGAAATTTCGAATTCGAATTTTAAACTAATGGATTGGATATTATTACAAAATTTGGACATTTGTAAAAAGAATTCGGAATTAACTTCAGAACCACATTTCAACACAGAAAGGTGTCTCAAGCAATCCTTTGCTCCATGATAATTTATGAAATTAACATTTGAAGCTTGACTAAGATTCTTCAACACTCTTAAAGAGGGGATATTATTCATGTACGACTTAAATAATTCTTGCCATATTAAATGTTTATTGTTTATGTTTGTTGAGTAGATATTTGGATGTCTGCCAAAGGTGTGATGAATCATATCATCTATAATATCAACCGAAAGAACTCTACAGAATGATGCATAATTGAATGATGGAGTTTGAGGGGGGATGGTGATTTTATTTTTGAGTAAATATTCTTTTGAATCTTTGGGAAGGCAGGAGACAAGAGTAATGAGAACTTTGGGGCAACGCCATAAGGAATGGTATGCCTGATACCTCCATAGAATTCGAGCGGACAATTCACACCATAGGCGGTTAACAAATAGGCATGTATATAAGCTGTACCTATCATCCACAAGTTCAATAATTTCTCTCAAACAATCAATGGGTAGTTCAGGCATTTTTTATCATAATTTTTTTTTGAAAAACTTTTAAAAGAAAAAAGAATTAATTTGAGAATTTTAGTTTTTAAATTTTTATTTATTTTTTATGAATGGACGTTTTTGTCATACGGTACATGCATCAATTAGATTAGATAGTATCCAAATGTGGCTAGCAATCCCGATACTGCGCCACACAATGTGACACATCACGTTACAAAATGATAAGGACATCGGACATATCCTTATATAGACATATTATAGCAAAACAAACATGAAAACTACTTACAAATTTTATGATATTGTGTATATTTGGGTTGGTTCAGACGTAAATGCAGTTAATGTTGTTGTTATTTAGTAACACTGCATCATTGTTGGATCCTTGGTTACGTAAATTTATCGGAATTTATAGTGGTTTGACATCATTCAAACAAAAAACAAAAAATGTTTGTGATAATTATGTGATTAATCAGTCGCTAATTCTTACTAGATGTTTAATAGAAATTGTACGTTATGAATGTACAATAAGTTGAACCCTCGTCTTGCTCTCGAGTTACATCCTTTAATGATCAGCTAATAAATCAATTCATTTACCCTTATTATTACAATTTATCTAGTACATAGAATCTCGGAATAAAATTCTCCTAATTACGAAACTCTTTTTAATAAACATAAAGTACATGTACCTCGAAAAGCAATAAGATTACGTTAATAGTTTTATTTAACAACCATTTTATTTATATTTTGTTTTACGTTGTTTATCTATAATTTTATTAAATGTTTTATGTAGGTGCTCCAACAACTTCCAACGGTTTAAAGAGACGATTCATAGTTGTCAACAGCAACGCTTATTCGATAATCATCATTTTCGTCCTGTTATCAACCGTAGCATTAAAATGACTATATTAACTTATTTTCTCGCTTGTTGATCAAAGAGCTACGTTGATTTGACGTCTTTATATTGCACTTGAAATCTTTTTAACTATTGTTTAAAAATGAATATTGTTTCAATAAATATTAGAGGACTTCGGGTTTATTATCACAAACCATAAAATAAATATGATTCTAACATATTGTTCTGAAATAAAAAAGCTTCATCCGAATATAATCTCAAAGTTTTTAGGCTAGGAATTAATAAAATGATAAGTAATCATCTTTCCTTGCAATTACCCACTCATGATTAATAAATATAAAAATAATCATTTATTATGAAAGCGTAGATATTGTTAAATATGCATTATCGAGTAAATCTCAATGTTATAATTACTAAGTAGTGACAATTAAAAAAAGAGTCATAAACTTCCACACAACACATTATATCATCGAAGCATATGACAATTATAATAACTAATTCAAATTTATAACCATTCAAAGCATAAAAAGCTCAAAAGAACTGAAATACATTAACACAACTTCTTGATAAAGAAACGGGACAATTGATCGTGAAATTGTGACATTTAATTATAAAGGAATCAATAATTGTTTATAATCCTCAAACCGTTCATCGATTTGTTGAAAAGAACAAATGGTAGGAAAATGCCTTCTTTTTAACATTTGCAAATGTATTCATTTTTTTGTCACATTGACATTGATTTGCTTTGTAGATACCATTTCGACATTTTCGTCACGACATTTGAAGATTTCGTTGTGACGTACCTATCTTACTAAGAGATTCTTATTATTTGGCTCTGTAATTCCATATAAGGAAGGTGATAATGTAAGTGTATTTCACAATCAGTTCCAAAAAAATTTTGGCGTTTTATGCATATGCTTTCCATACAAAGAATTTTTGAAATTTTTATTTCCGAAAGTGTTCTCCAAATCTGGTTAGTTTACTTTTAGCTTAGTAATAACAATGTGTCGATCAGGTGTTCATTAACAATCGAATTTGGGAACATTAGGTTCCTCTTTCGGGTTCATTTACGGATATCTTTTTTTTTCTCTTTTTAGGACTGGTAGATTTTTTCGTCGTCTATTGGCTGCAGCAATTGAATAATGATGTGTGAAAACGAAAGCATTGGGGTATCATGACATTTAAGCAATTTACTGCGCCATTTATCTTGGCGATTTTCTGATTAATTGTCAGATTGGGAGAATAATCCAGAACACCACATCTCTAATCAAATGATTTGTAACGAATTAATTTATCTTTATAGAATTTAGATACCTTACATTGTAAAAATCGCCCTCGATTTATAAAAACACCATCCATCATAGCACGTAAAATTTTCATTTTTCATTCTATTTTAGGTTTGCTCGTGTATTCTTCGTTATTTTTGAACCAAAAGTTTGAAATTACCAAAATGATGTATGAGGTATGAAGGAATCCTAATAATAATCACTGGAGCCTTACAGATATAAAACATCGAATATGAAAAATGGTATGACCTGAACCTGATAGATAATACACAAAATTTGTTTAAAGTTATGTATCTATTCTTGACAAGCATTTATTTTCAGAAATTTGAATTGACTAATTTGGTACCCATTTTTTTTATAAATTTTTGCAGTAGATAAAAATTCAACTTAACCTCCTGAAAACTATAAAATCTATAAATCTATCTTTCGTTTTATAGTGTTGTATTCCTTTTGAGTTAATGAGAATTGGCAATTGAGGCAGATAATGACAAGACACCTTATTTAGCACAAAATTCAGAGGATAGTAATTCAGTTTACGAAACAAATATTAACAATTTGTCTTTTTAGATATAGATCCTTAAAGAAATTGAATGATCTAATTGTAGATTTTGGTTCAGACATCTATTTTTTTAAAAAAAATAAAAGCAACATTTAAGTGTATTAAATTATAATTGTAATTTATTTTGTGTTTATTAGCATACTGTGCTGAATAAACCTGTCAAGTTGTGACAATACAAAAATACAATTTTAAGATTTGATTAAAATAAGTAAAAGCAGGGAAATTAATTATAAAATTTTATTTTCTAAGGAAAATATGTAAATATGAATAATTATTTATTACGCAGCAACGGGCCGAATCCGGGTTCAAAGTACCTGCCCGGATTGGCAAAAATTATAAATTAACCGCTGTAAAATTTTTGCCGATCATTTTTGCTTTGGTCGTGAGTTTTTTTTTTTTTTTAACTTTAATCAAAAGGAGAATTAAAATGCCAAAAAAAATACCAATAAACAATAGATATTAGTTTTAGATTCACATAATTTACATATTTTTTATTCAGTTTTTATTTGCAATTAAAATTTGTAAAATAAATCTTATATTACTAGTTGAAATTTGTAAAATAAATTAATATTATTTCGCATCGCCAAATAACATAATAATATGAAAACTCGAACCTGACCTAATATAATTAATTTAAGTCCAGGCCAGGCCGGGCTTCAAATTTTGGACTTATACAGGCGGAGATTTACCATAAAAGAAAAGCATCGCGGCATTACAATGATTACTGGATGCTTCATAAACAATTTATGATCATAGAATCATACTCCTAAAATTAAAGCATTCACTTAAAATAATGTATTTTACCTAAGTCTCATAATAAATTAGAAATCATATCATATAATAAATAATGCCATTCTGATCTTATTCATATAAATATGCAAGCCTTTATTGTGCATTACTATTTCTTTAGCTGATATTTTATACATTTCTAAAGTCTATTCTTTATTAATATCAACTACTATACCATTTTCATAATAATATACTTTACATTGAGCATCTAAACTTTTTGATTAGCCGATTTCTTGTAAAATTCAAATGCTCTAAATAAATTCTTAATAACGTCTTTTCCTATTCACCCAATTTATATAATGCTTCTTATTATTGGCGACCTTATGATACCAGTAATTAATTTCATCTAGTTCTTGAAAATTTACATATAAGTTGAGAATAATTAGTGCATCATTAACATTTTTTTCAGAAGCATCATTATACAATTTCAGTCCCTTTCTTTATTAAATCTGTTCAATCTCATTTATATAATAATATCTAAAAATAAATTTTGCTTTCGTGTCCTTGTTCAAATTCTTTAAACTGCTCCTTTTCGACACCGTTACCTACTGCATAAAATTCACCTAAAATATATAACGCAACTACAACTCCTTTTTCGGTTGCTTTTTGAAACCAGCAAAAAACAATTTCTAAATTTTTTTCTGTTCCTATCCAATTTAGCCAATTCACGTAATGGCATATTACAATGAAAATGAAGGTTTATTAAATTACATTTTATAGTAATGTTTACGTAACACAGAATTATTCGTTAACTCACCCGACACTTTTATGATAAGGATTTATTATAAAAAAAAAAAAAAAAAAATTTGGAAATAAGAATATTTGTTTATTTCGCTTTCGAAGTAGCTTTTAAAAAAATCTCAATTAATTAATTTAAGTAATTATCGTATACTTTATGTTCCATTGCCATTAAATTCTATCAACAAGTGAAAAGACGTCTCTTCTGTCTAAAAAAAGTTCAATTTCGATCATTCCTCCGATTATTGAATTTGAGCCTGACATTAAAAAATTAACGTCCGGGTTTCATAAAAAGTTCAGGCCAATCAAATTAGTCTTCACTTCTTGAATTCGTATTATATTTGACTCTCTGTTCAAAGCGAAAATATAAAAAAATATCAAAAAGACATGTTTAAAGATATTTTTAATTATTAGTGATAGGTTGACATCCGAATCTTCAAATTAATCTTCATTTTGAAATAAAGAATTAAATTAAAAAAAATAGGCTACGTTTCGTATTATCATAAAAAATTCGGATGATTAATTCTCAATTCGGATGTTTCAGATCAATTGGAGATTATTGTACGACATTATCTTTTATTTTTGAAAATTGGATATGATCCGAGTTAATTCGAATCAGGCATTGATTCGAGTTGATTCGAATCAGGCTAATTCTAATAAAAGTCTGTATTGGTCTTTTTCTGAAACTAAATTTAAATTTATAATTAGTTACTCACTTAAATTATTACGAATCATACATTTAAGGTAAATTTACTAATTTTAATAAAAGAAAAAGAAAAAAACCGAAAATTAATAC